AACAGCCCCCATGCCCTGTCTCAGAGCCAGGACTATATAACCAGCCCCGTGCCCCACCCCAGAGGTGGCCGCATCTCAGCGCCGGGTGAGGGATCCCTGGGTCACCGGCCGCCCCGCCCCAGAGGTGGGCGCATCTCGGCGCCGGGAGAGGGGTCCCTGTGTAACCAGTTGCCCCGCCCCAGAGGTGGGCGCATCTTGGAGCTGGGCGAGGGGCCCCTGCATAACCAGCTCTCCCACCCCGCAGGTGGCAGCATTTCAGAACCGGGCGAGGGGTCCCTGGATGAAGAGGTGGCCGGCCGGGCCCGGACTCTGTTCTCTCCTCACAGCTGGGGGCTTCGTGGAGCCGGGCTCCCCCTAGCAGGATGACGGGTGCCCTGAAGAAGCACCTTGAGCTGCTGAGCGTTTTTCAGTGGGTTATGACCTTCCTCTTCTTCGGTAAGTGAGGCCGAGAGGGCCAGGGGAGGGGGGGCTGACTCCTGCGATGGGGGAGGTGGATGCTGCCAGATAGGCCTTTACACCATCCCCTGGCAAGGAGTTCCGCAGGTTAACAAAGCAGTTCCTCTTGTTGGTATTAAACCTGCTGCCTGTTAATTTCGTCGGGTCACCCCTGGGATCTTGTGTTGTGTGAAGGGGTAAATAACACTTCCCTGTTTGCTTTCCACACCCCAGCCCTCATTTTATAGACCTCGATCGTATCCCCCCTTAGGCGTCTCTTTTCCAAGCTGAACAGCCCCTGTCTTTTTAGTCTCTCCTCGTACGGGAGCCGTTCTGTACCCTGGATCACCTGTGCTGCCTTTCTCTGAACCTTTGCCAGTCCCACTAGATCCTTTTTGCAATGGGGCGACCGCATCTGCACACAGTATTCAAGATGTGGGCGTCCCAGGGATAATATTTTCTGTCCTATTCTCTATCCCTTTCTTAATGATTCCCAACATTCTGTTCACTTTTTTGGCTGCCGCTGCACATTGAGTGGATGTTTGCAGAGAACTCTCCACAATGACTCCAAGATCTTTCGTGAGATGTAACAGCTAATTAAGGCCCCATCATTTTATATGTATAGTTGGGATTATATTTTCCCATGTGCATTGCTTTGCATTTATTAACACTGAATTTCATCTGCCATTTTGTTGCCCAGTCACCCAGTTCTGAGAGATCCTTTTGTAGCTCTTCGCAGTCTGCCTGGGACTTAACTATCTTGAGTAGTTTTGTATCATCTGCAAATTTTGCCACCTCACTGTTTACCCCTTTCTCCAGATCGTTTATGAATAAGTTGAATAGAACTGGTACCAGTACCGACCCCTGGGGGACACCACGATTTACCTCTCTCCATTCTGAAAACTGACCATTTATTCCTACCCTGTTTTTCCTATCAGTTACCCAGTTATTGATCCAGGAGGGGACTTTCCCTCTTATCCCATGACAGCTGACTCTGCTTAAGCGCCTTTGGTGAAGGACCTTGTCAAAGGCTTTCTGAATATCTAAGTGCACTATATCCACTGGATCCCCCTTGTCCACATGTCTATTGACCCACCTCAAAGAATTCTAGTAGATTGGCGAGGCATGATTTCCCTTTACTAAAACCATGTTGACTCTTCCCCAACAAATTATGTTCATCTCTGTGTCTGACAATTCTGTTCTTTACTAGAGTTTCAACCAGTTTGCCGGTACTGAAGTCAGACTTACAGGCCTGTAATTGCCGGGATCACCTCTAGAGCCCTCTTTAAAAATTGGCGTCAGGTTAGCTCTCCTCCAGTCATCTGGCCCAGCGGCTGAGTTAGGGGACAGGTGACATACTCTGCAATGTCCTGAGTTCCTGCAGATCTGGGGTGACCCCATCTGGGCCTGGCGACGGATCGCTGTGTAATTGATCCATTTGTTCTACCATCTCTTCGCTGGACACCTCAGTGTGGGGCCGGCCCTCAGCTCTGTCCTCCCCCCACAGGTGCCTTCTTCACGTCCCTGCTGTTCTACCTGCTCTTCACCCGCCTCTGGGCCGTCTCTGTGCTGTACTTCGTGTGGTGGGTGCTCGACCGCGACACCCCAGAGAGAGGTGAGTGTCCCTGACCCCCGACCCCGTGCCCCCCATCCCCCCTGAGCCAGCCAGTCCCCGCCCTGGGGCCGGGTGGGAGCCGCCGCCCCCTAGAGTGGACAGGCCCCTGCCCCATTCCCTGCCCCCCTGA